CATACAAAAATTTGACGCAAATTCGATTGTGTGATCTGAGCATAAATCAGATAGAGAAATCGTCTGCCGATTGTGAAGTTTCACAGTGAGAAGTAAAATCAGAGACAGGATAGGGCTTATGATTACAAGTTGCCGTTAATGGCTATGAGGCTAGAGGCAAAGGTGGAAACCTCTAGTCGATGAGTGTAACTACGCAGCCCTGAGAAGGCTGCTCCTATGTGATCGTTTCATCCCAACTACCTCACAAAAAAAGTTGCGCGGTGGAAACCCTCTGTAAGAAAACCTCTTAAAGGGCGTCCGACGCTTCCTCGGTATGGGTGGGGGAAGATATTGAGACGTAAATTAACCATCCAAAATCACTGGAAGAGTCGGCTGCGAACGCTTTCAACGCAGAGCATTCAGCCTCCATTCGCGAGTGTAATCGAGCGGCTGTGTGGTGGAGGGGGGGTGGGGGAGGGGTAGTCCAGGCAAAGGGAGGTTTCCGGCGTGCCACCGCACGGTCTGGCGTCGGGAACATCTAGCGTTTGGCCCGTGTGGAGGGTTGCCGGGAGAGGCATTAAGAGCTGTCCCTTGACATATTTGTAATAAGAAATAAGAAAATCGAAATACACTTTTCCCGATTTTATCCACAATCATTTTTTTTTTTTTTGCGGAACGCATGACATCAAACTTTTTTATGTAACAAAACTTAAAACAGCCCTTTTCTTCGAATGTTCTAACGTATTAAGATGTAATTTAAAAACTGCAGTTACAGCCAAATTAAATCTCCTTGAGCATTTGTTGCATGCAATGCCATCCAAGGACATCTTAGGACATCAACCTGATGCTATTTAACATACTATTGTGCAGAATATTGAAGTTTGGCCAACCCAGATTCTAAAGCCAACACAGTTAAACAAAGCTAGAAGGAATTGTTAAATGATCACAAAAGAGACAGCTTGAACACGAATGCTCAAATGTGTCCCCTTTACATACATCTCTTTGATGGGATGAACTGTTGTGCTTGTTAGATATTTTTTTTTTCAATGAGCTGTTCGACTGAAAACACAATATAAGAATTAGAATGCGATAAAAAATTAGAATGTAATGATAATTAGAGTGTAATGAAAATTAGAAGATGATGAAAATGACCTGCAGGCCCTAGGTACAATTAAACAAAACAAGTCATGCGGAATCAGCTTTCGATCTAACCTTTATGTAAATATCGAAATAGCTTAACTAGTCATGTGTACAAATAGGGCGTGCCAGGCAATCAGTTGTACTAAGAAAGTCAAGGCTTTAATAGTACGTTAGTTTAGCTTAGTTTAAACAATGAACAACAAAAATAAATCTTTGATGGCCATTAGCACAGTTTATGTGTTAATCAATTACTTTTTTTTATTTTTACGTCAGACAAAAATAAGAAACATTTCTTTTAAAATGTGTGACCAAGACATTGGGATAGTAGGTTTTCTTGTGCTTGTAACAACTTCATTGTAATAGTGCTAACTCTGATGGACGTTGCTTAAGCTTAACCTTATAAAAAAATTACTAATAATGTCAAAAAATTATTGGAATACAGTCCTATTGTAACAAACATCCCTGTTGTGACATACAGTACTGTTGTGACATACAGCCCTGTTGTGACATACATCAGATAGATTAGATAGATAGATAGATAGATAGATAGATAGATAGATAGATAGATAGATAGATGGATAGATGGATAGATGGATAGATAGATAGATTAGATAGATAGATAGATAGATAGATAGATAGATAGATAGATAGATAGATAGATAGATAGACAGACAGACAGACAGACAGACAGACAGACAGACAGACAGACAGACAGACAGACAGACAGACAGACAG